GTATACCGGATACCTTGCAGTTGTGGCCAGGTATATATTGGAACCACAAAACGAAGCATCCACACCAGAATCAAAGAACATGAGAGACACTGCAGACTAAAACAACCAGAAAAATCTGCAGTAGCTGAACATGCCCTAAAACAAACTGGACATGAAATTCTATTTCAAAATACTGAAATACTGGACAACACCAGCAATCATTACGTCAGACTGCACAGGGAAGCCATTGAAATCCACAAGCACCAGCAGAACACAGAACTTCAACAAAAAAGAGGAAAGTTTGAAACTCAACAAAACTTAGCTCCCAGCTCTCAAAAAATACAGAGTGCAGAAGATCAACGAATTCTACCCAGCCACAAGGACTGGGGATCACTACACACAAAAGGCCAGCTAATGATACCCATCAGTCACAATGACAGATAATCTCTCCTCCTTATCACGACAATACATCCACAACAAGACACACTAATCACCTATTTACAGAAAAAGACAAAAGCCCATCTCACAGCCATAAATACTCCACTCCCAAGCCAACTACACCAGAGCACAGAGTGCTGTCCTCTGAAGATGCCGGCCACAGAGACTGGTGAAACATTAGGAAGAACAACCTTCAGAACATGGCCAAAGAGCCCGAAAAACCCACAACAACCATATTATGTCACTTTATGCACATTATGTTGAATACTTGGATGTTTAAGTGTTCCTAGACTTAGTAAGCATCATTAATTTATCAGCGGATGTTCTTCAGCAACTCCACTAGATTGGCAGTCCTTCTAAGAACATCTATTATTGTCTTACTGTTTCAGAATACATGCAATGATTTATCAAATGGCAACAGTAGCAAGGAAAATCAGTTATCACATGGATAATGCTGCATATTCTGCATACTCCCTATATGTATATGCTCAGTGCAGTGGAATCGGTTGCTAGCAATTTCACATAGTTTCAAATGGGAAACCTATAAGTTAACTTCTGTAAAGTACAAACATTAAAATGTAAACATTTGAGAAATTATTATTTTAATCATAATATTTTGGGGAAGAAGTTTGAAATTTACATTGTGCATCTATAGGAGAGCAAGATATACTGTATTTTTCCATGTATAAGAAGATACTTTTGTCTAAAATCTTTAGATTAAAAATTGAGGGTCATCTTATACATGGAAGTAAGGGGAAGTCAGGGATAAAAGGGCTTTAATCCCTGCCTTCCTCTCTTACTTCCGTCTATAAGACAACGCTCAATTTTTAATCTAAAGTCAGGGACAAAAGGGCTGTAATCCCTGCCTTCCCCTCTTACTTCCATCTATAAGACAACACTCAATTTTTAATCCAAAGATTTTAGACAAAAGTATTGTCTTAGACACAGAAAAATACTGTATATCTTGCTCTTGATTCCTGCTTTCCCCCTTCACTTGCTAATTCCTGCTTTAGATTTCTTAATTTTGGGTTAGAAAAGTGGGGGGGGTCTTATACATGGGGTTTCGTATGCATAGAAAAATACAGTAAATTAAATTAACAGAAATTAGTTCTGTATCATTTGTAAACACTCTCACTTCAGCTTGGGCCAGCTGAACAGCACAGCAGCCTCAGTAAATATGCATACTTGTCACATCTGAAAGTGGGGGCTAAAAATAAATTTGAAAGGTTTTTAAGATAGACGAAGAAAAATAAGTAAATTCCCTATTAGGATTATGCAATGGATCTATACTGACTGATGGCAATGGAACAGAAGTGTTACACTTACAAATATTTCCTGCTGAAATTAATAGGCTCTTATGGTTGCCTTTTGAGTATGTTTGAGAAAACATATTTCATGTATTAGAAAATGACTTACTTGCTGACATGTCAACGAACTGATTATTTTAAATTGGTTAGTGACAGAATTGCTTGGAAACATGAGATATTCCTTACAACTGTATTTACTAGCGCTATACTAGTCATGTCTGGAAAAAAAATTCTGATTTAGAATGGCAAAGCTAAAGTACTTTAAATACTAAGAAATCTCATATGTTCCAAAGCCAAGACTTAGTACTCACAACTTCACTATTGACTATACTCCTTGTTTGGATACATTTGCAAAGTAATTAATACAGTGTAATATATATTATTCACACATAGTAAGAAAACATGTGAAAAGATGCATCTTAATCTGATTTTAAAAATAATTTTAAATATACATAATTCCCTCTGCTGATATCAGATGGCAGCTGGTACACACAGCAGAGAAAACCCTACAATCAAAACAGATTTTTCAAGTATGTGCCAATATGGCATATTGTATACAATTCTAAGTAACTTCCGTGAGCACAGTGTGTACCCATTGAAGGTGGTCTTCTACAATGAAATATGTGGTTGACTTCAATGGGCTGTGGATCATGCCCTGCACTAGGTTTCAGTAACCTGCACTATTAGTCATACTCCTGAAATTTTAAGAGGTATGTTTGTTGAAAATACCTAAATGTAAATATATACCTTTAGGAAAAATAGGAATTACCTATAGTATGAGCAAGTGCTAATTTAAATAAATAAATAAAATGAATAGACCAATTGGCTTTATTATGGCATTACTCTCATTCATAACATTTTAGGAAGATGTCAAATGTCTTGTCCTTTGTTTTTCTGTGGCCTCTTTTGTCTTTTTTTTTTTACTTTGACAAATCCATTGAGAAATGGCGGAATGAATGGAAAATGCCTTCTAACTGCTGATGTAATAAAAGCCTTGTCTAAAACTGCCCTCTGTGCCCTTTGTTGTAGAGTTATAACATACACCAAACATTAAAACAAAATATATATTCTAACATGGTACACTGCAAATAAGTATCTCTCAGGAGGGAACTTCACTGTGATTTCTTACCTTCAGCAGAAAGACCTTGGACATTTACACCTCGGGCTGCCAGAAAGCTAAGGCAGGCATCAACATTCTCAATCTGCAAATGAACATGAAAAAGCAAAGCAGTTAGAGGCTATTTTACAAGAACGACTTGAATACAGCCGGGGTGGGGTGGGGGTTTGAATACTTTACATTCATCACATACTCTAGTTCTTTAGTAAAGTTTAACAAGAATGATTACTGCTAATTGGGCAGCTGCTATAAAAGCTTTCATTGTCCACTTTTGGTGCTTAAACACAATTCATAAAGGGTTGATCCAGAGTGGCATGCTGACAAATCAGCAACCCACCTACTTAGCATGAAACTGGACTCTGTATACTTGAATAAGAAACAATGGAAACTTCCATATAGAAATGAATACTGTGGTGTGTGTCCAAAGGTGTGGGTGACCAGCCGCCTCAATGAAAGCACATCAAGAGTAAACATTAAACAAATACGTCAAAAAAATCTCTGCCTGGGATGAGATGAGAATGCACAAGTAGACATACTTATCAAGCTCTGCATGAGACATCTCTCTTCAATTCCTTTATGTTCTAAACACATCATTAATGACCATTTTTGATAAAGTCTGAGGTTTCTTTTCATTATTATTTTTAAACGGCAATGCTAGGTTTAACCTTACAACTCTATTACAGAGGGCCTTCCATATCCCATTGCCCTCCAGATGAAGTAACTACAATGCCTATCATCACCAGCTAATATGGTTAATGGGGATAGAGTTTAATGCATCTAGAAGACATTCAGCTGGGGAAAACTGCCTTATTTATAAAGCACAACATTCTATGGCATGTGAATAATAATAATAGAGAATACAACAATACCACTCCATCACAGTACATACCAGAGAGCAAGGCAGAAGCTCCCTTTATCTTGACTGCTGGCCAATTTGCTGTCTCAGCCAACTTCTGGGCATAATATTGGGAAGAACACAAATCTGAGACCTCACATGTACCAGTCACACAGGACCTTCCTGCCACTGGGTGCAGGAGTTATGCCAGTCACACTCTTATGGTATCCACCAAAATTTAGGGAGAGTATGCTGCTACTACACCACCCATCCAAAAATGGATAAAAACATATGCTTTCAGCACCCTGAATCAAGCACGCTTATTGTTTAAATTTGTATATATTTTCTACCCCAAAAATGTTCAAGGGACTATATAATATTATAATGAAGTGTACTGCAAATATACCACCCCATAGTGCTTAAAGCACTCTATGGGCGGTTTACAACTTAATTATGTAGGCTACACATTGACAACCACCCACAGCAAGCTGAGTACACAATTTACTGATTTTGGAAGGATGGAAGGTTGAGGCAACCATGAGCAGGCTACCTGAGACTGTTGGGAACAATCTTTAATTACTGTGCCAAAAGAGTCATATAGTATGATACAGGTTAAAATTCAATTCTGAACTCAATAACATATATCAATTAAAATAGAGTTCAAGAGGCTGGGAATAGTCATGAAGAAGACACTCTGTTACGTTCCCACCAGTAGTAATGTAAATGAGAGAAAGAGCATCCTCTACAGAGTTCAGAGCCTGGACAAGTTTGTAAAAAAGAAAGTGGTATTCAGATCATAGCCAGCGCCTTCAGTGTTGCCCACAGACAGTGTGGCTGTATAGTATCTTTGGCCATTGGCCTTCCTACAGAAAAGGGTGGACTACTCTTCCTCTCTCACATCCTGCAAATAAAAAGGCACATAAAGAGGGGTATGAACCCACATATGCCTCTCTGCAAGGAGAAAGTAAATCAAAGATTTCTCATATTGGAACTGGTACACATTTAGGAATAACTGGCTTACTTCTCACATTGCAAATGTTACTTATTTAGGAATAAGTTTTTTATAGTTACTTTAAAAGTGAAACAAGAGTAATCAAATCAAAAATACCATTTGCATCAATTTCTGTGGTTGCCTAGCACTTGGAAAAAAATATTAAGGCATAATTGGCCAGCAACTGGCAGATACTAAGAACCTGGTAAAGGACAGGTTCTTAGTATTTCTGTGGACAAGAAAATAGTTCAGTGACTAGTAAGTATGTCTATTGGCCACAGAATGCTGAAGAACTGTCAGAGGCAACTGCAGTGAAATAACTGACACGAACAGGAAAACTGCACCTCTGCTGCCGGTCCAATTTTGAGAATTCTGGTGAGTTGATCCTTATGTGCCAGACACCTAGGTTGAAAGCTGAAATTAGTTCTACCTTGGCTTTCATATTATCCAAATATTCCTCTGCAGCATTCAGCTGAGGAATGTACCAACATCAGGAAAGAAAAAGTACTGTATATCAATTTCTGATTTTCTGATTTTCTCACTTTTCCAATCATAAATCCATTTCTTCTCATTTCTGCCTCAGTTTTCAATTTTTTTAAGCCAGCTCAAACACTTTTGAGTATATCACCTCTAATATACACATATCTGTGGGCATTTCTTAGTAATTACACATTTGGGGCAATCAATATGCACATACCTAATGCATTCTTATATGCTGTACAAAGTATATTTTTCATAACCATGAAGTGTAAATAAAATGGTAGTAATTAATTTGTTTGCTTAATTTATTGTATTCCTATCCTGCCTTTCAAAATTTTGAAACTCAAAATTACTCCTACTCCACTTAATTGGAGACTGTGTTGGCAGGGATAAGAGGGCAAAAGTTGCAGGGCTTGAGGCTGTTGTCAACCATATTTTTTAAACAAAACAAAAAAATCAGTTGAAAGGGAGACTTGAGAAGAGGCAGCCGAGGACTGTGTCTCCATAGAGGTGCAAACAGGGATAGAGGACAAAGTGAGCCACCTCCTCTGACCTAGACAGTTTGGCTGTGAAGGGATCAGGGGCATGAGACTCTGGCAACGCAGCCCCCAGATGACCCAGGATCATGCCTGCCTTGATGTCCTTGTCATTCTGAGGAGAGCCGCAAAAGCTACCCCATCTCAGCTTCAGTGCTGGAGATGGTGCAGCTAAGAGGGCTCTGCAGACGCAGCACCGCTAAGCCTGGTTCCCATTACCCACCTTTACTAACCCTCCCTAAAAAGGCTGTGCTCCAGACTGGGACTCCTATTCCACCCCCTGCTTCTCCAGATCTGGACTCTGGGAGAATCCAGTGAAGTCAACTGGGGCCCCAGCGGGACTGAAGGTGCCCAGGGTGTTAGTGCCAGAAACTCACCCTCCTCCAGAACATGAGGGAAGGGGCAGTAGGGGCTGATTCTGTGCCTTTAATAAAAGCTGCTCTGAGTGATCAAACCGGAACCCATGGAATTTTTGTTAGGGCCACTCTTCAGTTGCCAGGCCCCCAGGATTCCAATGACCCTATCAGCCTTTTGCATAGGATATAAGGTAATACATATTTAGATAGTTGAAATGTATTACATAAATGCTGTTAGACTATTCAACAAGGTGCTGGATAATATATTTTCAGAATGAATTTTCACTTCCATTCCCATTTGATCTGAAAAGTCCCTTCAAAGTCCAACAATTTTGAAGATTTTGATATATACGCATTCATTGTTTTAATTACCTTCTTGTTGCCTTGGGAAACCACAATTATTCTTTGAACCCAGACCTCAACAGTCTTAAACACTTTTTATTCATACTTACAAGCAGATGAAAATGATTTAAACTTTGCAGCTGCACAAGTTCCAATACATTTTAGCCAACTTTCACAAGATCCATACTGTTTAAATCAGAACTGGAATGGGTCTTTGAAATCAATATTTACCTATCAAATTATAGGTTTAATCTAGTATAAGTTCCTTTTCTTACCAATACCACTTAACTTTAGTACCTTTTATGTTAGATTTAAGTAAGGCAGAATCAGCACAGTACTGTTTTGTGAGAAAGCAACAAAAGGACAATATCAAAGTCTGTTTCCTGTCTTCATCAGTTCTGTTCTGTATCTTTGCTGACTCCTATGATACACTGCTCTAAATGTGTCTTCAGTTAATTTAATATGCCGAAATTTCAGTTCTAACCTTACTTAAAGACCTACTTAAGATTTACTCCTGTTTAACAAACATGTTAAAGAATGGTGATGTTTTTAGATATTTAATGTTACTGGCCCACCCACACACAGTGTCTCCCTGAGTGAAGAAAGTGTAGAACTGTAAAATTTAAAACCTTAAATTAAAATAAGGTAAAAGTTAAGGGATATGGTGGCGCTGAGGGTTAACCGCAGAAGCCTCTGTGCTGCAAGGTCAGAAAACCAGCAGTCGTAAGATCGAGTCCATGAGACGGAGTGAGCTCCCATCGCTTGTCTCAGCTCCTGCCAACCTAGCAGTTCGAAAGCATGTAAAAATGCAAGTAGATAAAAAGGTACCATCACAGTGGGAAGGTAACAGCGTTCCGTGTCTAGTCACACTGGCCACATGACCACGGAAACTGTCTATGGACAAACGCTGCCTCTATGGCTTGGAAACGGGGATAAGCACCGCCCCCTAGAGTCGGACATGACTGGACTAAATGTCAAGGGGAACCTTTACCTTTACCCCAAAAGTTTAAAAATTCCTTATTAAATTTAATTGTTAGCTAGTTACCTCTTTAAATTAATTTGTTACTTAACATTACTGACTATCAGAATTTAGGAATAACTAATTACATTGGATGACTTATGGGCTGAAATCCAGTAGCAAGTCATAACTAAAGCAGGCCCAGTGAAAGAATGGAACATACAGAGAAGTTGATTCACAAAATCCCTACTAATTCAATGGCTTTACTCTAGTGGTTCTTCAAGTTACGTCAGTCTTACTGAAGAGAACAAAAATTTTAGTGAATATTTTCTACATTTCTTGCTAAATACAATGGAAAGAGCATATTTGAATGAATTAATAACAAAATGAGTGACTAGGGGGCCTCGGGAACAACTGAACATGCTGTCATTGTACTGCCATCGTTTCTTTGAAAAATAACAACTAAAAATTTACTTAACTATACCACAACAAATGAAATTCTTCCCCTCCCAAAATAACAGTAAGAATTCATTTCCCAATTTATTGTTTGTTTGTTTGTTTGTTTGTTTAACTTATATGCCGCCCAC